ATTCCGGTCCTCAAAAGAATGTCCTTTGTCCATAAGCTGTAGATGTACCGCAGAGTCTTGTCCAGAGGAGGTCGCTCTTCTGTGTTGGGTCATGCATCGGTGGAGAGGTTGTTTGGTTTCTCCAAAATAAAAATCAGAGGATTCCTCACTGCACTGAACAGCATATACCAGTATGCTTATATTTGGTTTGGGGGGTTTTGTCCTTAGGATGCACTAGCCTCTGTTTAAGGGTCTTGCATCCTAGTGCATCCTAAGGAGAAAACCCCCAAACCAAATATCAACTCTGGTTTTAGTTAAAATGTTGGTTTTTGTTTGAGGGCTGCTTTCAGTTAAGCTTTTGGATCAAGTTCTGACAGTTTGGAGATCATTTAGCGCAGGCATCCCCAACCTCGGTCCTCGAGGCCCGCTGTCCTGCAGGTTTTAGTGGTTTCCTTGCTCCAGCACAGCTGATTTTAATTGAAAGCCGATTAACAGGCTTTTGGTCTATTGCAATCATTATAATCAGCTGTGCTAAAGCAGGGAAACCTCTAAAACCTGCAGGACAGCGGGCCTCAAGGACCGAGGTTGGGGATGCCTGAGCATTTAGGTTAGAAAAGGGAGGTTAGTTTGGGGATTGGAGGGGATAGAGGATGGAGAAAGTTTGAAAGAGGAGAATTTCAGCCATGTTGGAATCTATAGTTGCACAACCACATCCATCTCCCTCCTCTAAGTTCCACCAACACTTTCCCTGTCTGTCTGCTGAAGCCCATCATTTCTCTAAAGTGATAGAACATTGTGCACAGACTGCATATAAGATTGCAATTTAATCAGAAAATGCACACAGAACATGTTCAAATTATTTCATTATGCATTTGCTGTTGAAAAGATAAATAATGAATTACTGATATTTCCAAAGGGCCCGTGTTCTTTTTTTTTTTTTTTATCCTTTAGGGCCCTTAATTTAGTGGCCTAAATAAAATATAAATAAAACATTTGAGAAAAATAACTTTAACACATTTTAACCATCCTGAACTATTGAAGTCATAAATATTTTCAAGTGTTTAATAGAAAAAAGACAAAATCTCCAGTTGGACCTTTATGATATAATCTTTAATCCCTATACATGTATTTTCCCTCTGTAACATTGCACATTATTGTCATCATCATCATAATCATCTCATCATCATCATCATCATCTCTGGACAAAACAGACATATGTTGTATTTTGGTAAGATCACAAGTAAATCAATATAAAATAAATAATAGAAAAATCTGCTGCCCACAATCACATATAAATTTCTACATAATTAATACAACAATGTAACAGGACAGTTTTTCCAGTCTATCTGTACAAATAGATTTTCACATATTTTTTTGCACATATTTCACATACTTTATGATATAGTTACTGCACTTGTGGCAAACATGAAGTGATGAGTTACAGTCGTAACTCAGATTCTCGGTCTTTAAAGGTTCCTCAGAGAGACGACTAGTGTCTCCAAACCAGAATGTTTTCTTTGTTCAGGCATCTTTTATCCTTGTTGGGATAAATCCCTGCTGTTCCTCTTGTGTCCATGATAATAGCGGCAGACAATATCTATGTTATAAAACCAACACACTTCACATTTTTTTTTACTGCAGAGGAAAATGAGTTGGTTAACATGAACAAACACTCCAGTAAACAGTGACGTCAGGGCTGTTTTAGTCCTTTTCTTTTATCCTTTCTGTTACGATGCGCACCTCTTGACAACATTTTTTCCCCCCAAAAGATAAGACAAAAACCATGTAAAAAAAATACCTCCAAATTATAATAAAAAAGCCTTCATCATATCTAGAAGGCCACAATTGGGCTGAAATAAACAGCAGATGCTATGAAAACTTTTATAAACTAAAACACAATGGATTATTTGTAGAATATGAAGCTACAAATCTGAAAAATCATTTAAAATTTTAATTTTTGGTGTTTTTTTTTGGCATCCCTTACTCATATTTGTAGATATTATACATATTTTTAATTAGACAGATAAATTACACTTATCATATTGTAATGTGTTTTAAAAGTATCTTTAGCTGAACTTTTAACCCCCAAATCTCCCAGATAGATTAGTTTGCATTAATGTATATTATTGCTTTTTCAGTAAAGATCATCATCATGCAAACCAGAGGAAAATAATTCTAATATTTTACTGCATGTTTATGTACAAGAGATGGTTATATTAGTGGTTCAGCTACTTAGTAAAGCCAAAGATTTGAAAAGTGAGAAAAAAACTATCAAGACCAATCTGGCCCTTTATGAATGCTTAATGAATCAAGAAATTTCTCGGATAATTTTCACTTCTAGTTGTGATTACTCAAAAAAACCTTTCTGCCAAAAGATCTGAACAAGTAATCTAAAGTCTTCAAGCAATTTTGAAGGTTATGGGACTCCAGAGAACCACAGTGATTATTCACAAAAAACAAAACATGGAACTAAGAACCCTCTCCTGCACTGTAAAAATATAAAATATAATAAGCAATTTTTCTTGAAATAAGTGCATATTTTTCTTGAATTAAGCAGGTGAGACAATTCGCCAAAGGAAAAAGACAAATTACATTTAAAATAAGAAAAAAATGCATCGTCTCATTTGAAGAGCAGATCACTTGAAAAAAATCAAAGTCTAGACGAGTCATTTTTTTCTTAAAATAAGTGCATTTGCCCTTGGATTAAGGTAGTAAAAGAGACATCTTGCCAATGGAACAAGGCAATTTACTATTAGAATAAGAAAACAGAATAGCATTGTTTAATTTCAAGTGCATATTAACTAATTATCTTATTTATCAGAGTAAAAATACTCATTCCATTGGCAAACTATCTCATTTAAGTACTCAAATTAAGGGGAAATACACTTAATTTAAGACATTTTTACTTATTTCTAGATCGTTTTTCCAGTGATCGTTTTATTTACCTGCTCAAATTAAGGGCAAATACACTTATTTTAAGATATGTATACCTGTTTTTAGATA